TTTACCAATAACAGTTTTCAATACCACATGCGACTTTTCCTACTTATTTTTTACTCGATTTTCATTTTTATGTAATGTTTTTTGTAGTAAAGTTTTAAAAAGACCAAGCATAGCGTCTCGTTTCACACACGACCCGTCTTATTCTTTTAATTTTCCGCTAAAATAACTTGATATTATCCAGCGGTTGCTCTTAAAGGAAATGGGGAAATGTTATAACCATATTAGGTCGCCTACCTATTTATTTATAAACGATATTTTTACGAGCAAATTGGAATGAGTTTAAACAAAATACTTACGGTGCGGTATGAATATCGAAGTACTTACTGTGGTTAATACTCGTCTATTTTCCCAAATATTTAGAAAGCACCGTGTATGCGATAATCAATGGTACTGATTATCAATGGTACTAGTATTGTGTAGTCACATCATTATTATATCACATCACCAGCCCATTAGTACCCACGGCTGAGCAAAGGCTACTTTTCACACGGAAAAGGTTTGAGTATTAATCACCAGTAACCACGCTTAGTTAAGTAAGATTGGTAATTTCAGACTTATAATTAAAGATTATAAATAATGGTATCCTTGCGATACTTCCCTTTGTCGTCAATCAGTAGTGTAAAAATAATGTTAGAATACCTTGAAAAAAATCAAGTTGCTGCTTCGAATCCTCATGCATGAGAAGCGAGAGCCGTAACCTCTGGGCCACCAAATCATTTATGGGCAGTTGGGCCTTCACGTGGTATGTAGTAAAGGTGCCATACTTTCTTAAAAAACTGCATATACATCTAACCACAGCATCTAACCAACACTAACAAGAGATAGGTAGGTAAGTAGGTTAAGTCAGTACACAAAATGAACCTAATTGATCAGCAGCATTTCCAGTGAGCTAATGATCAAATAATGTAGTAATAAGACATTTGACAGAAAACAGCTAGCTAAATAAAATATCACACTAGTGTAATTGCAAGTCTGAACTAACCAGCTTTCTAGCACAAATGTAGGGTTCGTATTAGAGTTTAGACAGATGTAGCTTGTGTTGGTATCCGTAGCCCACATAGATAGGTTATACAAATACTGTTGCATTTTGATGATAAGGGAAAGAATGCACAGAAAGACCACTTTGTGAAGCATGTTCTAGGAAATTTCTTCGTCATTTCACACTGTAGATTTTATTTTTCTGTCCCATATATTTTTATATATAATTCTGCTGTAGGTACGTGTGTATGTTTTTGAACACCTCCTAAACGGCTTGACCGATTTGAATGAGTTTTTCTGTATGCGTACGAGTGGCTTCCTGGATAAAAAGCATGTGATCTCGGAAACGGCCTAACGATTTCGCTCCTTGGTATGTGAGGATTGTTTTTCTAAATTAAATAAATTAATTTTAATTTCTGTAACCAACCTCATCAGTAAAGGTGTTGAAAGTATTGTTTAATATGCAAAATTATTCGAGTGCCTATCTCTAAACTCTATTAGATAGGTATATTTTTAACCTTTTCACTGCCATAGTCGGCTATAGACAACAAAGGAAAAATAAGCTATTTCGCCAATGTCGACCAGAGCCGACCATGGCACTTAAGATGTTAAACAAAAAATTATCCAATAATAAATCAAAAACCCAACGTCCCGTATTTCTAAATTGGCACACAACGATTATGAACCTTCTGCTTGTTACGATTACATACAAGCTCCGCCCGACTTAGATATTGGTCAGAGCTCTGGACTGCATACTATGTTTTGTAGCCCAGTTGAAGGACTGATCTTTGTATTGCAGTTCGCTTAAACACGGACCGAGTTTGTCTAAAGTCAGATGAGTTTCGACGACTATTGTGTATTTAGACTATTTATATGGAACACAGATTGTTCTCTTTAGTTACTTTTAAATTTTATTTTGTTCCTACATTCGTTGTTAATTAGAATATCAAATGTTAAACTCGACATATTTGACTTACTAACTGTGGAAGAGCCATGCTTTGGTACGAAAGAGTCGCTTCGCAGAAATCCGGTGTGACACAACCACAACGTTGTGTTTCGCCGTGTGAGTGAGGTTACCGTAGGCCCAACCCTTTACCTCCTATGCCTTAATCTCCAAAACTTTAATCCCCAAAAGGTCGGCCACGCACTCGTAACTCCTCCACTGTTGCGAATGTCCATGGGCGGCGCAGATTCCTTACCTTCAGGTAATTCGTCTCCTCGTTGGCCATCCTATCACATGAAAAAACTAACTTGCTATAAAGAAGACAAATTATACTGACTACGTACTTTAAGTCAAGAAAAAATCTGATTAATTCAAACATTTTATTATATCAACAATCATTGTTCGTGTACGTTAGAAACTTTTACACCATTTAACGTCATATTACGCCGCGTTGGAGATGCACCAACGCAACGCTAGCGTTGAATATTCACTCGCTATCAGGGCAAACGAAGTTAAACCAATTCCTGCTTAATATGCCATGTGAGAGGCCAGCGGGGACCAAATATTACAAACGTAGATGTTTGAAATAAAATGGATATGATTTTATAGTAAAACTCGATTTAGAATGCACTGTTTCTATTGAAAATATTGGTGATTTTTGTTGTGTGTTAAAAAATTACTTTTTCTCGCCAAGGGGTGTGGCGAGAGGGAGTATCAGACTCTTACTGACTAACTCCACCGCCTGTTCTTTCTCCTGCTGCAGACCAAGGGCGTTGACACGCAACCCTGGCTAATTGGCTATAACGTGCCCCATCTCTGGTGGTCTGTTGGCTCTTTGAGGCGCGCGTAGGGTTTTGATTCTGCTCGGGCGACGAGCTACCGACCGCTTACGGTGAACGGGATCCCCGACGCCTGCGCTGGGCATGAGGAGGATGAAATATTGGTGCTTAGAACTAAATTCAGCAACCATTAAAAAAACCGAATTGCGGAGATTAGCGTGTTTCAAAATATGCTTACCGCTTCTAAATATGTATACATGATAATCGCGTAATTAGTGATTGATAATTAGCGTAGTAGATAGCTAAGCGAACGGCTGCACGTGTTGCGAGTTCAATTTCCATGCCTGGCTATTACTTTCGATAATCACAAAAGAAATGTAGAAAAAAAATTAATGAATCAAGTTACAATTTATCATACACAATTTATAAAGAAAAGTAAAAGTTGGAATGCACTTTCATTGAAAAAAAATATTTGTAAATGCTAGAAAAAATATATAAAATTTTTATATCGTCAAGTCTTTGAGTGAAATCTATCTAATCTAATAATTTTACGAGTATTGAAATGTCAAAATTATTTATTGTTGACCTAAGAAACTACCCAATTGAGTTATTGGATATATACTTGCAATGAGTCAAATTCAATTCTTAATTTGAAGATGTTTCATGAACCGAGAATGAAGGTTGTGACGTCACGTTACTTTTGCAACAAACAACACACTAATTCCTTTTAAATTTGGCAAAGTTGATATAGGCTGTTCTTGACTGAATCAAGTACTCTATTGGAAAAGAAACCAGAGATATACATATATTATCCTTTCCTTTTGTATATAAATATATTGCTATCTTCAAGCAGTATGATAACAATTTTTCATTATGTACTTCTGCGCACAATATGACCGTGAATGTGACAAATAATTTGCTTTAAACTTTCTCGAAAATTCGAATACTTCTGATATAATTTAAATAATGCGATTTGTTAACCACGCATATTCATTGTAAATTCACAATACAATTTTACTTGTGTTCCGTGTCAAAATTTTGTATTCCAACTAAATTTAAATAAACAATTTGACAGTTCGTATTATTTTCACAATAAAATTCGTTTCTAAAATTTGGACATATTATTATGTAAGTTTGTTAGCAGAGTTAATGTTACGCGTGGCAAATTAGGAGTATTGTTCGTGACTACAATAATAACGGAATTGTAATATGATTTAAAATTAGAATCGGACATTTGTGGAATAGTGACACGAAATTATGAATAGAGGAAAATTTTGTTGCCCTTTTATTAGGTAATAAGTATTTATACATAAACGCATTAGTACCAGGGAAGTATAACATAAAATCCTACTAATGATATAGATGCAAAAAAATTCTAAGTATGTAATTATATTTATATTCTTTTGCCCGCGACTCCGTTGGCGTGGAATAGTGACTTCCTGGAATTTTTTTGTATAAAAACTATGCGAAAATTTTACAGAAATCGCTTCAGTAGTTTAAGCGTGAAGCAAAGACAGACAGTTACTTTCGCATTTATAATAGGTACAGGTAAGTAGTTTGGATTTGTTACTCTCTCTCGTCAAAACTTCTGAAGGGATCCGAATGAAATTGGGCAAACCAATAGATTATAGTCTAGAATACCACTACTTTCAACTTGGAACTTGGTGCAAACCGCTGGCTGAAGTTAGCGTATAATAAAAGATATGCAAGTACCTACAGTACTAATAGTAAGAACTAATAACTAGGATAAGTTAACCATGAAATACAGAGATTATGATTAGTGTGTGTTGCATAATATGGTTACCACTGCTGCATATGCATGATATTTGCGTATTTAGCGATCGATTAATTAGAGATTATTAATTATTAGTAGCAGCTAAGCGAACGGCAGCGGTATGTGGTTTTGTGCACTCGTGACACTTTTGATAATCACACAAGAATTATAAATATTTTGTATAGTATTTAGTCCTCTACCGAAAGCAGCAGAAGGAACGGGGAGGTTTTAAGTCAGTAATAGTCTGACATTCTCTGGGCTCACCCTGGGAGAACTCATTTGATGACCTTCCCCTGACAAAAAAAAGTATTGCATTGTACATTTACTTCAAACTCCTATTACAGGTTTATCCAAAGGTTGTCTGTAAGAGATTACCTTGCGATCGCGATAAGACCGCCCATTGTATACTTAATTTTAGAAGGATGTCCTTTTAACTATGTGCTTATGTGGCGAACAATAAAGTATATAATAAATTAAGTAACATCTTATCATTGAAGATTTATTAAATACAGAAATGTATGAAATACATAAATATAAAATTAAATACATTATTTATATTTTTTACTACAATTACGAGGTACAAGTAGCGAGTTAAGTCAAATTAATCTAAAAAAATAAATTACCAACATTAATAAGTATTTATACTGTTTTATCCATGTCCTTTGTTAGTTCTTCTTCAGATTCTTTTTTAGTGGGTTTCTTTGGACCTGTGTGAAAGAAAAAAAAATTTTTACGACCCTAAAATCAGTGTTTATTAATTCATGTCTTTATCAAATAAGGTAACTTATGGCAGTTTCTAACCTTCAATTAGTTTACTTTTCAATTCTATAAATCCGTAACGGGTTTTGTCCCAAACAAATCTATTTAAGTACTTAATTTAGCAACTTATAGAATCATCACCATTATTATTCCACGAAACTGAATTACTGGACATAGGCCTTTCCAATAAATTTCAGATCAGCTGGTTGAAAGCGATCTTCATCTCACTACTCCTTGCGACCGAAAATCATTTTGTTTCTATGTATACTTACTTGTAAGTATCAGCTTGATTAACGTAGAGAAGGGTGCATCAATAACTAGCACCATGAGGAATGTGACAGCAAACGACAAAGCATAGTGAGCGAGGAACTTGAAAACCTGAAAAAAATACAAAATAGTGGCATATGAACATTGTGCATTAAAATAAGAAAAATGTGTCTTGATGATTTGTGATCATATCAAAATATCATTAGAGATTAACCATATAAAAACCTTAACCATTTTTTCATACAGTTAATGAAGTTATTATAGACTCATAAATGTTTTATTCCACATTGCACTTAGGATCCTCAATTCATATACATTGAGATAACGATAACTCCATGATCATACAGGTAAAATCTCCACAGTCATTAAGAGAGAGATGGTTAGCTAGTGGTTGATTTGAGGTTGTGGTACAATGGGCACGTACCACAGATTGCACTGAGAAGTACATAGGTGAAACTGCTGAATAGTTGACGGCGACCATCAGACCGTAATGGAACAAATACATTCCATACGATAAGCGAGATTGTAGCTTCCATACACTGAGAGATAGGAACCAATTTATAGGACCTGAAACAATCATATTTTGTGAGTATTTATGCTTTTAAATACGTGTTACTATTCAATAGTAGACCTAATTTGGCTAGAGTTTAAAGTTTATTTTCTCAAAACACGTTATCGAATAGAAACTTAATTTACACGATAGATCGTGTAAATAAATGACGTAGGTATTTCTAAAAAATGTATTTTAACACGTTATCGCGCTGTCTAGATAATCCTTTCAAAGTAGTAATCCGCCGCAGTTTATTCGAAAATACTAAATTACTCACTTAATTTTTTTTTATAATTTTTCATATTTATTTCAAAACCTTTTAAACGGTATTTTCATCTTTAATTAGAAAATGTTACAAAATTTAATTCAGTACGATATTGCTGTTTGTAAATAGAATATAGAATAGTTTTTTTTTTTGTTATCTCTCTTACCACCATAACCATTGACGCAAGCGTATATCATACAGCCAAGGAATAAAGCCCAAAGAGGTCTGACGAAAGAGTTGAACAAGCTATCTCCTAATTGATTGTTCCAGTCTGGTTGAGCTATAGGATAGTTCGTGTATATTATAAAGGTTGACAAACTAAACGCTGCTATCCAGTAAAATGCTGTTGTGATCTGTGAAAAAACATTAAATAAGTAATGTTAACAGAAAAATTGCTCTAACTAAGTATAAGAAAAAATTTAAGACGACTATACCTCAAATTACCAGTCAAAGTTATTTCAATGCAAATAATCCTATGCTTTAATAATCATTAAACAAAACAAAATCATCATCATTCTATTATAATTATGTGTGTGTATATAAAGGCATTATTTCTATAGGCTTCAATGAACAAAAACTCTATTAAATATACATATGTATAGGTACTAACGTGTATATATAAAAAAGAATGGAATAGATAGTTCTATACTCAACTACTTACCTTAGACATAACAAGCTTTTCAGTTCTCACTAAATATCCGAAGATCATTCCGACAAAAAACGGAGAAGCTCGAGTTAATGTGTTCATGTAATAGTTGACCGAATAATCCATCACTCGATCGGGACGACTGTAAATATAGAAGAGGTTAAAAACATGAAGTTTTCTTTAGTTTAATTCATCTTCGAAAATCCAAAGATAGACATCCATTCTTAAAGTACAAGACTCAATGGCTGACTTAAATAAAAAAAATTACTCAATGGCTATATGTATGTGTGGCCCGGTGGCCCAGAGGTAAAGCGCGCGCTTCTGACGCATGAGGTTGCGGGTTCGAAATCTAACAAATACTGATGTGACTTTTTCGAGTTATATGTACATATATCTATGATTATTAAGAAACCACTGACATACGATGAAGGAAAACATCGTGAGTAATATCTAATTTCTAATTGTAAGTCTCAAATTGCCAATACGCCTTGAGCAAGCGAGGAGAAAAGGTCTTTTCTAAGGCTGATGATATATATATGTATGTATAAAATGTAAATCAATAATCACCCCATCATCGTAGAGGGAAATTCTTTGATAAAATTATAAGTAGTAGCCGCTGTCAAAATCGCCACCAGTCCAGCTAACAAAGCGGTCCATGCTATCCTCTTCCTTCCCAGCAGTACCCAGTATAAAAGAATTGGAGACAAGATATGGAGCTGGACGTCTATTGCTAAATACCATGTCTGACCGACACACTGGAATAAAAAGATAATACATTTCCATAATCAAAATTTTCTACAGTAAGACATGCCAAAATCGACGTTTTCAGCATTCTCCCATTGTGACTTGTGTGATTGAGTGATTCTACAAACTAGTAGAGCTTTTCTTAATGAATTAATGTAAGTTGTTACTGTCAAAAAATGAAACTGTATAACGTGTTTTAGTCGAAACAAGTTGGTAGAAATAAGATTAGTAGGTACCCTTCTCACACGTGCTGTCTCAAAAAGAAACGCTTTAAGCTACGCCGTAGGCCCGGAAACTACTACGCCGTAGTACATATTAAGAAATTTCGTAACTAAATGCACGAATACGAAAGTTAGTGTACATAAATATTATTATTATCGTACAATAGTTATGAGTTTATGTGAATCAACAGTAAAAAAGCTTATTACATATGCAACAAGGTTTATATTAGATAAAAAGAATCTTACCGTATTAGTAGGATTCATATAATTCTGTACATGTAACAAAGTAGACCACCAGGATGTTCTACACCTATGCACATGACCTTCCACTACATTCCATATTGGTCCATCTGTCCATCGGTTGAGATACGAAGCTTCCAAGAGCGCTATAGCAGCCAATAATGGAAACATGCGCAAGAGTCGATTCAGCCAAAATAAGTGAATGTTTTTCAATAACTGATCTGAAATAAATACAAATTAAATTTTAGAGCACTTGGATTTTTAAAACGGAATATCTATGTTGAGCATTGTTTAAACTTTATAATTTATGAACAGCAAAATTATAAATTATTATTTAATATTGCTAAGTCATGTATTGTATAAAATAGCTTAATATTGATAATATTGTACAAAAACAATATCGATGTGATTGAGACTAATTAATAACAAGGAACTGATAAAGAATTGGGTCCGACAAAGAATTTCATATTTTACGTTACCAAAAGAAATGATGTTCAAAAAAAACTATTACCTACTAGATACAAAAGAGTAGTAAGCAGCAAAATTGAAAAAAAATCAACAGTTCAATTTTGGTTCCTTATATCATGGTATAAGATGTCGTGACATATCATGACAGTAAAGTAAATAAAATCGTATTATACATATAAGCGTTGATATATATACATGTATTTTATTATCAGACATAAATTCTATAAACTTCTATTTCATTGCTTATAAATATGCCAATACCAATGCAAAAAAAGGATGTTTGTTATTCCAGAATATAATCTTTACACAGAGTATTTCATTAACCTCAGCAATTTATACTTGTAGTATTAACATTGCATATTTCCGCATAATATACAAAAGTTATAAGTAGGTATGTATGTCACTAAAAGCGACCTCTCCAGTGTCATTCGCATAATTAAATTTTTATCATTAGATACACTATCATAATTTAGCAGGAAATCAGCTTTTGATAAATCTTATAGAAATTTGATAAATACCTAATGATGTAATAACACCCAGTGGTTGTTTTTAAAAACTAATCTGTTTAAGCCATCATCAGATATTTTTGGCCGGACTTTAGATAGCGGTTGATAGGAATAATGCAGTCTACAGCCGATTTTGGTTATAAGAAAGCTAGCTACCAATATTAAAACAATGCTACAAGATTTGTGGTGAATGTAAAAAGTTATATATATATATAATAAATTTATACATATATCTGCCACTATCCCTATAGTTTTCTAATCACCGCTGCAGTGATCAAGTCATCTGGGGCCGTTGCCGAGCCAGGGTTCCAGTTAGTGCTCATCTCAATGATACCCGGCTTTAACCGGGCGATGGAACGGGTTGGTTTTAAGTCACTAAGAGTCTGAAACTCCAAGGGATGATCTCCGGCCACCGTAAGCGCGGGTCTGCGGACGGCGAGTGAGGGTAAGGGTAAAGAGCCAATAGACCACCACAGACGGGGTCCTATAGGGCTGATGTTCAGCCAGGGTTGCGGGGTAAGCGCAATGAGGCACGGCGACCTCGGCCCAGAGCAGGAATTTTTAGTCAGTAGATAAGAGTGTCACACTCTTACTCTTCATTTGATGATTTTCCCATCACAAAAAAAGCGTCTGAAACTCCCTATCGTATCACCCAGGGCGGAAGAAGTTATTGGGCGATATTACACTCTCAAATGAAGAGACACGCTAATATTTGAGGGCAGTAGCGCTCTTCTGATAAACAGATCCCCTACCTGCCTCTCACGCGTGAAAATTATTGCAAATTTGCATTTGTAGAGGAGTCCTATTTATAATATAATGGTGAGATTCTACTACGCCAGATTCGCGGTAATCCTATGGATGCAAATCGGTTCGACATTGAGAACTAAGGGAGACACCGTTGTTCAGCATTGGAGATCTTTCGACTAATGATGATGATGATGATGATGTCTATTATCATAAATATCTGACTTACTGGCATTTAATTTTCCAACTGTAGTATAAACGACGAGAAAGCCGCTTAACATAAAAAATGTGTCCACGGTCACTGTAGCTGATATGACCCACAAGGATTGCCATGATGTCGTCCACTGAAAACAAGAATAAAATCATTTTATATACACTTTCATTTAATAATTGCGTAATTCATTTGCATGTACGATTACAATTCGGTCTTAAGTTGACAATATAAATGTTTTAGCCAATTTAAAAAAAATTTAGGGACTAAATCAATTTTAGTATCCTTTCACTACGATTTGGAAATAACTCTAGGAATATAAGAGCAGTCAACAAATTAATTCAATTATGAATTTTAAACACCTCCTATCGGTTTAGTCACAACATCGACTATTACACTAGAAAGCGAGAAATTTTACTCCTACAAGAAAATTCTGTACGCCTGTACAACGTAACTCGTTTTTACCCGACTGCCAAAGAAGGAGGGTAATGTTTTTCGAGTGTATGTAAGTATGTATGTATGTCTTTTCCTTTGTGACCTCCTGTAGCCTAAACGGCTTGATGGATTTTGATGTATGAGGTATCGTTAGATTTGTCTTGATTACGGGAGTGTCATAGGATACATTTTATCCTAAAAGTCCCACGGGATAAGGACATAATAATATTTTTTCTAAATTTCCCTTTAAAAAAATATGTATGCGGTATCATTAGATTCATTTCAATCACGGGAGTAATTAATATAGGATACGTTTTTTCTCAAAATTCCCACGGGAAAAAGTTATAAATAAAAAAAATATTATTAAAAAAACAAAATACCCGACTGCACACTAAAAAAAGAGTAAAACAAGCCCCACAATACAAATTTACTGAATATAATTTATAAATGTTGATGGAAAGCATCGCAGGCGGGGACCACCTTGACCGCCACCAACGAAAATTCTGCTAAATGGTGCACAACAGAAATGACTATAAATAAGCCTCTGTTGGTCCCCGCCTGCGATGCTTTCCATCAACATTTATAAATTATATTCAGTAAATTTGTATTGTGGGGCTTGTTTTACTCTTTTTTTAGTGTGCAGTCGGGTATTTTGTTTTTTTAATAATATTTTTTTTTATTTATACTAATGCATGGTACAAACATCTTAGGCGTTTTCCTAAAGCCAAACACGCAAATTCGTAAAAAAATATAAAAAAATATTTCTCTATTTTTTATTTATTTTTATTTTTATATTTCTTCATTTTTCTCTATTCATCCCATTATTGTTTACCTAATTAAATTCATTTAAAAAACGAAAGGAACGTAAGTTATTTGTGCACAGATGATCCGATATAAATAAATTATCTTGCACGTATTATTTTTTAAGAGTGTTTATTTATTTTTATAAAACATTGCTACAGCCAGATTTCTACTCAGTAGTGTCGGATGTGCTTTTAAAAATATACAACCTCACATACACATCACCCCCAAACCCGGAACAAAAAATTGTGGATCACGCTAAGCATTGCCCGAGCGGGAATTAAACTCGCGACACTTTGCATAGCAGCCAGTTGCCAGTTGTGATAACCCGGGACTTAGGAAATAACGTCATTCATTATTTTATCAGTTAAATTCCCACATTTTATCATTCTTGTCAAAGATATTAAAACTGATTAAGAACAAAAACGTGAAAGACTCATTTTATTTATTTGTTTTAATTTCCTTTTAACTTTTATAATTGTAGAAGTTTATTTTTGTCTTATAAATATTTTTTTCTTGAATAGTACAAAATTCATACATTATAAAAAAAAATATTTTGTATCTCCATTACGAAACATAAATAATAATTTATGGTGTTCAAATCAATTTAATTTTAAAATCAATTTAATTTGCTTTAATTGTCTGTAGGCGTAGAGAAATATGAATAAATTCATACAAACAATTTAGTCAAATGTTTATAAATTAAATGCTGAGGCAAGTAGTTCAGCGATGGTTTTGCCTGCTTAGAAGTGATTGGTGGCAGCGATCTCTCGCGCCCGGCCTTATTGGGCCTATGATGCGGAGCGAAAAGAACTAGGAATCCATCCAATCCATCTCGCAAATAACGAACGCACGTAAGCAAGCTATTCTACTCCTCATACCCCAGCCTCCACAGAAGGAGACAGGTCATCGTAGAGCTCACGACGAACTTCGGCCACCGTAGGCGCGGGTCTGCGGATGACTAGCAAAGGTAGCATCCGAGAAGAACCAGACCCGTCTGATAGGAACTATACCAAAATGAACTCAGGAAGGAACAACACCGACAAAGGGTGGGATTTAATCTCCATAAAAAAAGCACGACGATTTTTGGGAAGTTGTGAGCGGTAGATTAAGTTATCTTTATTTTAAAAACAATATTACATTTAAATCGCACATAGTTTCAATTTTATTTACTATGAATTAGAAACTGCACCCCGTTAGCGTCTGGTAATTGTTATAAACATTAATATGTTTACCGAAATATGTGTGTATTTGTCAAAAACCCCAATTGTCAATGTATATAGTGTCTATTATATAAGTCATGTTGTAATGTATACCATAGAATAGTCTAAATTTCAATAAAAAAGACATCACTCTTCACAAATCCTAGAAAAGTAAGTAAGTTTAAATTCTAAATCTACATCACAGTAACTTCAGCAATTCAGTACAAAAAAAAATGTCGATCTACATACGAAACGTACACGCGTTTTATAGCACTTACCATAAATCCATCAAGGGGATTGGCCCAATTTGATTCTGATGAAAACGAATGGCCAAGAACCACCCACATCATGGCTAGGGCTCTGATGCCGTCCAAACATTCAATCGTATTAGGTCCAGAAGTAAATGTCATTACACGACGACCGTTTGTGTAAACGGAAAATGATCTACCGATAACACTCACTGTTTTAGGGTCTGGAAAAGAAAAAAGCGCTCATAAATACAACAGAGTTTTGTAAAACAAAAAATGTATCTATACCTACTTAAAATTTAAAAAGGAAAGATTTGATTGATTGTTTGAATTGAGTAGGCTCTTAAACTACGTGAGAAAATATTACACTGTTGGGAAGCTGCATTATCCCTGACGAACATATGCTATAAAATATGCGAGTGAAATCCCAGGGAACAGGTATAATTTTAGATAAATTAAACCATATAAAAAAGTCAAAGTGAAGGATGAAATAGTTACCTTTTTTCAAAATAATCGTCTGCCAGATATCGAAAGTAGTGCTGACAAGAGTAAGCAATCCAATTATTGAGAAAACAACCCTGTGGAATCGAAAGCAATCTATTAATAAAATCATATCATATGTACACAAACACGAAGAAATTGCACTTGACATTAGGAATCACTTACACCGCCACTGTGTCTCCTGGCACCCACGGCTTGTCGTTAGGCAGACGACAAAACTCGTCAGTATATTGAAAACCAATAGCGGATATGTTGAATAAATATGAATTTATTGCTTGCTGAGTGGTACACGGTCTCGGGATGCAGATAGCTAGTCTGAATGTTAACCCCGAGAGAGGGGTCTGTATTGGGGCCCTGGAATAACAAAAAAATATTTGAAATTAGATTAGTGTACAAAACAAGTTAGTGACTTAGATATTAAGCACGAATTTTGTGGTTTAAATCTCAATTACATAGTAATTACATTTTAAGTAGAAATTCGTAACTATGTGATTAAAGTTCACCTTTGTGAAGTTAATCCGTCTGGATGTTATGAAATCCAATTTTATTTGAAGTCAAAATAAATACTTGGGTAAACTTGCTCAAATGCTTACCTATCATCGTTAAAAACACCAGACATGGCCAACATCCCTTGTTTAGAAGCATAATAGTCCTTCAAAGCAGCCATAGTTTCATTGTCCATTTGTAAAAGGCTTGGGTCAAAATTCGAATTCTCAAAGTTCGTCCAATCTTCAGGAAAATGATAACTCTGATTCATTGGTACGCGGATCATGCAGTATTTTCCTTGAAGCTCCGAGTTCGTTTCCGTTATCTGGTTAAAGCCAAGGCATTGGTGATAGTTACCCATGTCAAGAGTATTGCCTATAAGGATGCCTCTTGGCACCCTGATACCAGCATCAGCGACTGTAAGACAAATTTAGAAAATACTTATCACAAATAATAACATGCTTGGAAAAATAGGTAAAGCCCATTTGAAAATGCAAGATATGCAATGTAAGCCAGCGATCTTAATTAAGTGAAAAGAGAATTCTAATTTGTAACACTGACACTGTCATATTTCCAAATACCCATTATTAAACTTTTCTGACCTAAAAAGTCTCAAGAGAAACCTTAAGTTTGAAAACCACTTTTGTTACCTCATAATCCACCTTTACCATACTTTGCCATGAATAAAATTATACTTACAAAACATTGACAGAAACACATTGTTTCTTATTTGAGCTATTTGTTCACTACACAATTCCGGATCAATCACATCTCTATAAAGATTCTGATCCAAAGCCTCATTTGGTACAGGCAACTGAATGTGCCCTTTAACTAATACTACATTAACCGAAACTAAACAAATAATCACTTTTAAAAACATTTTTATAATATTTCACAAACTTTTCAAACTAAGACATAATATACAAGTTTCAATTTTACTGCGACTATCGCAATTGACATTCAGATGCAATGTGGTAATATAAATTCATATTTCGTAATTAAGACGGACTAATCTAATCATAACTTTATATTAACAAACAGAAAAGATTGAAATCATTGATTAGCTACCATTGTTAATCTTCGGTTATTGACCCTTTGCGAAACACATAAACTAGATAATTATCAACAATGCTACCTGTACCTATGTACCTGTTAACTATCTGGCAAAAGATCATGACTCTACGAAATCTGTTATCACTAATATGGAATTACTCAGAGAAGTAATCCAACATTTTTGCGCGATTGAAAAACGATAAAGTGCTTAAAAAAAATGTAGGTAGGTACTTGTACTGTCCTTAGCTTTGATTTTAATTATAAGTGATTGGAACCTGTTCTTCAAAAATTAATCTAGGATTTTATCTTAGAAAAAGGATGGCACGTGAACCATGGTTGGCCGTGCCATTGATGACATGCAACCCAATATTTTATTCTCTTTACTGATCGCAAAATAAATAATGTACTAAGTACATATTTAGTAGGTACATTACACAATTTTCTGTGGGGTTTGGTGACTGCACTTTTTTCAATTTTGCAGTCTCTTTTGTGCTTCTAAAACTTAAGTCACTCTGTCTCATGCACTAAATTCAGGGAGAGAAGAAAAACAACTATTTCCTTTTTCTCCTCCACATTTATCTAATATCTTCTGATTTATTTCGTTGCGAGATCCAAACAAGACAGTCGTTAATATCCCTGGGACGTAGGTACTGGACTTCAATGTACCTACTTTTATTTATTTTCGCACGTTTTTTCATGATAGTCTTCATATACATACGAAATACTAAACATTTAAACGATTACACATAATATGACAAACAAGGTAATTTTTTTTTAATTATGTTAAGAATTTCTGATTTACGATAACAATCAACGCCTTAAATTGTAATCCATTGAAATTAATCAAAGTACTTTATCTCTTGATCTCGCAAACTTCCATTACGACATAAAGTCATTGCAGGTGAGCAGATAAAAAATCAATACCTACATCCTACACGAATCTATACCTATTTAATTATTATTTCTCTTATATTCACTGGTAACATAACTGCTACTCGGGATACTTACTTTGTTGAATTGCAACTGCACCATTTCATTTTCGATTTAGATATAAGAGTAGAATATCCGACTGGCAAAGTAGCCTGCTGCCGACTTCTTTGCAAATTGTTGATCTTAATACACTATTTTCATTTAGTAACTTGCACTTTCTAAGTATCATTTACTGACAAATAAAGCAACCAATGTTACGGCACGATTCATCGTGCCTGAACTAATTTAAGTGTGGGAGAGCCAAGCTTTGACTGGAGTGATACCACTGCCTCACAAAATAAACCGGCGTGAAACAACTACAGCGTTGTATTTCGCCGTGTGAGTGAGGTTGTAGGAGTCCCAATCCAAATCAAAAGGTAACTCCTCTGCTGCTGCGGGTGTCCACGGGGGCTCGTTTGCCGACCTATCACAAAAAAAACTCACTAAGATAGATTGTTGGTATGATCGCTGTTAGGCTGTTGGTGTCCCCAAATCCAGCGATCGAGAGAGCCCGACCACCCTAAGTTCCTAAGTCAGCATTCTTTAATAGCTTTTTAAATATAAAATTGTTAATTCTATTCCAACGCCTGATTAACAAATGCAGGACAATAAGTTTCTAGCACATTGTCTGATAAACAAGTAAACAAATCATTAACCTTAATCCTCAATCGGTGGCTTACAACCTTTTACGCAACAAACACGCGAAAAAGAATTTCATTTACCGATAGCCGATACTCGGTATTCCACTTTATGCACATATAGGCATTGTTGAGATATATGTAGGTATTTAAATTCTAAGCAAGCAATACTACGTAATCAATTTAAAAAAATACGAGTCAGTTCTCCAAGATACATGAGCCAAGTTCCATGGCACTGTCTCGCAGAAAACCGATGTGAAACAATGAAACAACGCCTTCCTTACCTATATGCTTTATACATGCTGAGTACGTACAAAGAAAATATTATAGGTAAGTACCTAAGATATAATACAACTTTGTTTATTACTTGGTTTATTTGGTAAAAACAAAAAACGTATAAATATTAGGTATAGGTACCTACCTACAATGTATTCTGGACTAATCGGAAACTATAGGTACCCTATTCCAAAATTAAATAATTTATACAATTGGGTAGTTTCCTAGGTCAAAAATAAATTAATTCGACGTTTCAATACAATAAAATATTGAAAAATAACTGTACTTTTATTCATCGATCTATCGATACACCAAGTTTTAGATATTTTTTAGCTAATTATTAAGAAATAAGTAAATATTATATGTAGTGTATGTAAATATTATATGTTAGTTTATTTCCCATATATAATTTTATTTATTCTAATAGGATTTATGTAAGTAAGTGTATAAAATATATATTTATCAGTAATATCACGACTTTGCTTGCTTCTTGCACCTACTGTTATCTCTGCATCGCCCAAAGGTTCGACTGGGAGAGAATGCCTGTAGCATTAAGTCCACCTTGTAGGTACACAGATGTATGTGCAAAAGTGTAAATAAATAAAAAATAAGTAAGCTATTTGACGCAAAAATGTTATGACGTCATAACTCAGTTTTTCATACAAATTTCATAGAAAAGTATAGTTTTTGACGTTTGGATAAAAGTATTGAATTTGACTAGTTGGAAACTACAGTATTGAACGATTTTGTCAATTTGGAAGCATTTGATGAAACAGAATATTATTGTTCCTATAGGTACCTAGATATCTACCGGAGGTGGAATCGAAATCCTTACTTTACAGTTTAGTGACCTTATTACAAAACAATTTTTTTTAGTTTAGGTCTAAACCATTGAGCCAGTTTTTGTAATTCAAATTGAAGTAAGGCGAGAATAAGATTCAAAATACAAAACCTGACTCAATGGTTTCAACCTAAACTTAAGATAAATCTTATTTTGTAAATAGGGCTTAGGTACTTACCCCCTCATTACAAAACTTAGAACAAAGTTTATTCCCAGATATTGAGTTTGAGTCCATTAGCTCTGTATAGAACTACGACCACTCAACTAACGACTAAGTATACCATTATAGTTTTAATGTCCAACTCCTAATGTTTTACAATAAGCAAATATCGGCCTTTTGACATAAGTTAACACTAATATTCTTAGGCGATCGTATTTCAGGTTTCCTCACGATGTTTTCCTTCACAGTAGGTATGTCTGTGGTTTTTTTATGAACTCGGGAAGTACACATGACTCGGAAAAGCCACATTGGTAAGTACTTGCCACGTTGCGAAGCCATCTCCTCATGCATGACAAGCGGGCGCCTTAACCTTCGGGTCACCACGAAGTAAATAGAAAATTACCAATATTAAATTCGGAAAACTTAAGAAGGCACGTACTGGTTTCAAAGTTGCACTCTCATGTGTGCGAAACTACTTAGTAGATGCTTTAACGTCCAAGCCATTACCTGTGCCAGTACCTACTTATACATCTTTGATTATTAATATGTATGACATATTAATAATCAAAGTATTATATAGTATACATATTAATCTATGATGATTTACCTACTCAACTTACCTAACTTATACTTACTTCATTAAAACGACATCTGTTGAAGACTAAAAGAACTACCGAATATAAACCGTGGCGCGTCGCTTCACGGAACCACAGACCCTGACTGCGCGGCATCGGTTTAATGGTTTAATAATGCTAGAAACAATTTCATTGAAATTAAGATATCCTTTTCGAACTCAAAAAAAGAAACCAACATTATATTAAGTATCTACCAAACTATTGGATTACCTACTGCTCTTATATGTTTAGGTACTTTTGTTATATAATATGTTTGCAAACGAGCAGACGGATAACCTGATGGTAAGCAATCGGCGCCGCCCATGGATACCCGCAACACCAAAAGAGTTACGAGAACGTGACCTCTTGATTGCAAATATTTAAGGATTGGGAAAGGAGACAAGAAGGGGGAGGGATTGGGCCTTCGGTAAACTCGGCGCACACAGCGAAAGACAACACTGTGGTTATTTCACGCCGGTTTTCTATGAGACCGTGGTATCATCACTCCGGTCGAGCCGACCCATTCGTACCTTTTTTTAAGAGGGAAAAAAGGAGAGCGTTAATGTCTCGTCAGACTCTCCCTGACTAAAAATTACCCCTTTCCTTCCTCCTGCTTCAGGCTCCTCCCTCCTGCCTCCTGCTTCAGGCTGAGCCAGTGGTTAATTATTGTGCTTGCTGTAGACTTCACAGGGCGTCATCACGATGGGGCCCCCAAAAAACTAATAAAAACGTGATAAAAAGATTTATTAAGAAAAGAGCCATTTTTATTCCTCGCCCCACCTTAAATATTAGAAGGACCGGCACTGAGTCTATGTATCTAATATAGTTTCTCATTGACTAGCTAGATATGTTTAGATGTGTATGCAAAGATATTAATAGTCGGAAGATTATAAGGTCACGGTAACTGAGGTGTATCTTACCAATACGGTAGTTTCGAACTAGTCAAATTCAATACTTTTATCCAAACGTCAAAAACGATAATTTTCTATGAAATTTGTATGCAAAACTGAGCTATGACGTCATAACTTTTATGCGTCAAGTAGCTTACTTATTTCTTAATAATTAGCTATAAAAAATCTAAAAATTAGTATATCGATCGATCGATGAATAAAAGTATAGTTATTTTTAATATGTTATTGTATTGAAACGTCGAAATAATTTATTTTTGACCTGGGAAACTACCCAATTAGAACAGCGACACTGTACCTTCATTTACATTTAAAAGACAAACATACAATCATAGTAAAGTAAGTACGTAATATTTTCATAAATGACCTATTTAGCTACCGTACCTTGTCTAATTTCTGCCTAGGTAGGCAGGTATCTACTTTTAAATTTCATTCCGCCTTTTATTTGCTCAACATCTTGATCGAGGCACATTTAAATAGGTTACCAATTGTTAACACTTAGAATAATAACAAATATTCTAAGATT